TTAGCGTAGTCTCCGACTTGAAAACAGCGCGTACGCCTTGTTGTTGTAGGCAGCGGCAACGCTGTTCGGACAGACCTTTGACATGAGGTAAAACCGCAGTAGCTTTGAACTTATTGGTGCGTTCGGTACTGTTGCTTGTTTTTCCGGTCTTGGTAAGTTTTTGCAAGAAAAAAAGGATAACCATTAGAAACCAGAACGGATGACAGATGTTTTTTTTCCTCGGTAATGACGGAAGGTTTTGTTACGAGACGTTTGGCGCGCTCGTAAAGGCACTTAACAATACCCCGTTTTACTGATTGAGGGTGATGTGAATCATACGCTAAGTATTGATCGGTGTGCGTGGGCTTCCTGTATACGCTGGTGGTGAGGCGACCATCAGGTTCTCTTAAAACTGCGGTGTCTAGGAAGGCGAGTTTGTTGTCTCTCTCTGTCTCCATGGTGAAGCGGATGGAAGGCTGCTGGTTGTTTATTGCTTTAGGCCTGCCAGAATACACAGTGGCTGTGGATGGTGATTTACAAACCTGCCTTGATACTTTCCTTATTCTGGACACATTTTTGAGGATAGACCTGGTGTTTGTTAGACCTATTGCTCTTGTTCATTTAGTTAGTAGGTTAGACATGACAGATGTAGCAGTTATTGTAGGTGAGCAATGTACCATACCATAGAAGTAGTTATTTTGATTATAACTATACTATCTAAAGAACATAACTTGGCTCAGCGAAATATCTCTATTGCATGTTAATCACCCGTTTGGGATATGTATTTTGTAAGGATAAGTTGAACTGAGTGACAGGTTTAGGGCAGGCAAATCTTTGAAGAGTCACGAAACAAACTCGATGAAACAACTAGTGAAAGAGTACAATTGATGAAGTTCAGATGAAAAATTGTTTTAGCGTAAAAAATTCTGTCTGAAAAGGGTAGATATCAGTGTAAGGAATTAAAAGTAAAATTTTTTCAAACTTTCTTGAATCATCATGCAAGCTGAAAAGCGTCGTTTTCCGAGCCCCCGACTTCTAACATAACATTGCTCAACAACGATGCTCAGAACTAGTGAGGAATTAAAAAACTCTCAAAATACTCAAAGCACTTCCAAAGAAAAGGTATTTCAAAAAGAAGTCAAGAAAACTTACAATTTGCAGCTTTGACACAGATAATTGTGATCATCACCAAAGAAAGAATCTGTTTTGACAAAGATAGAATTCTAGAGGGAAGGTCAGTCGGTCAGTCAATTTCCAGAGGTCTATGTCAGCATTTAAGTGAAGCGCGATGAAAGAAACTGGTTACTTGAGTCGTTTAGTAGTTTCCTGATGATGTACGTCTCAATGACTCAGGTAAGATATGACTCGACGTGAGCGAGGAAAACTGCATCCAAGTTAACTGTTCTGAGGAGATTGAAGTTGAGAAGATATTTTTGAGATTTTTAAAACTTAAAGCGCTAGCGTACTTACTTCCTTTGAACTGGGTGCACATCTACTCAGTTGACTCAAACACAAACATTGCAAAGCTATCAAGTTCCGAAGACCTTTAAATTGCTCTGAATGTGATATTTCTCTCAACATCTTGAATAATCGCATTGAGATATAAAAAATCCAGGACAAGAGTAATTCCAGGTCTGTTTAAGACGACTTTCGAAAGGTCGCATAGTCGATGAGGTTGGCGTATTGCAGACCATTGATACCAAAACCTCAGAGAAATTCCTGTCTTTTCATGTGAAGCGGGAGGAAAAAACCTGGGTCAACTCTCATGTCAGAGATAAGTCTTTAAAAAGGGGTTGCTGAGATAATTAAGATCGTTTTGAGTTTGACGTACTGGTCGAATCACAATCTTGAAGACGGCTAACCTTGGTATGCCAAACGCGAAAACAAATCTTTTAATTCTCTGGAAACATCGGAGTCCCTAGCAGGAACAAACTACCCCAGGAATGTTCACCAGACAAAAGAAGTTTAGAACCAAAAAGCTTGTTGGTTTTCTTACTGTTCCCGCGAGTTCATAATTATGTTTTCAACTATTTACCTATTTTTGAAGTGGAGGTGGCTGCAGGTGGATATTAACCGAGCAACGAAGCAGATATCCACTGCTAACCACCGATACTAAGGTGAATAGTTATTTTTGTTACATTAAAGCAGTAAGATAATATAGCACAAAAAGATGATTTGGACTCATTCATTCCTGCAACGATTATAACATTTTTGGGTGCAAATCCCACGTGTGTTACTCGGAAGTGAATAGTTAACTGATTACTCCATGAGCGCGCGTTGAAAATGAGATGGTAAATAACCAAAATGACGCGTAGCGCTGATTTGGCGGTAACCAGTCTTGTATGTGACGAGTGCGAAAAGTTTGGATATTTAGCGGAGCCTTTTTTCAGCTCCGCAACAGTTGGTGCAATGTATTTCTATAAGGTGATTCAGGATATGAGTCGATAAACCAATAAGAACACTAGAAATGCACTATTTGTAGTTGAAAATTTCCTTATTAGCAATTATTAAGTAGAGATGAATAACAACCTGAGTGGCATATACTAACAAACGATATTCGGAGTTTGAGTAGCCAATCAGCGCGCGCGTTTTACGCTATTCACGTGTAATTGTTTTGGAACATACTTATTTCTTTTGAGCCCCAGTCCTAAATTAGTATAACCCAATCGAAAACCTGAATAAATCGCTCTACTCCGAAAATGAGATTTTTTTAAAGGGATGTAGCCTTATTCGTTGTTTAAAAGCTTAAGTAAGCTATTGACCTCGTTGCTTTTCATTATGACTAACAATTTCATCCTCTGAGGGAGATTTTCAGTCAGCTGAGATTGTGCGATATATATTCCCTCACGTCTTCCTGGAGATCAATTCACACAGACAAAACATCATCAAAGACGACATTTTTTTAAGCGAGCAAAGCGAAGCAAATTTATTGATTGACAAGGTAAGAAGTTCAATTCTGGTAATGTTTGACCTCAAATATCAGGAAAAATTTAACGTAACTTCACATTATTTAGGATAACAAGAGGACTTGATGGTTGTGTTAAAAAATAGTAAGAAATCTTTGAAGAGACACGAAACAAACTCAATGAAACAACGAGTGAAAGAGTACAATTGATGAGGTTCAGATAAACAGTTATTTGAACGTGAAAAATTATGTTTGAAAGGATAGATATCAATGTAAGGAATTAAAAATATATTTTTTCAAACTTTCTTGAATCATCCGTATAGATTTGTACCACGTATAGAAGTATCTCTTACAAATACAATAATTTTATACAGATTTTTTGTAAGACAAAAAGAGAAAAGTTAAAAGAATGAGCATGCAGCAGCAAAGCAAGCAGTAGGCGCGGTTCCTCATGCTGTAACGGCCAGGCGCCCAAGTAGTGTAAGGACGAGGCCGAGGGTGCCCAGGTGACTGGTGACGTGTACAGAGTGGCCTGAATCAACTTGGCGAGCAGAGCCTTAAAAAATAGAAAACGAATAATTTGATCAAAGATTGTCAAGTCATCAGCCCATGGGCTCCTGGTTAACGCATATTTCTCACCCTTTGAAATACATTCTGATAACAAAGAACACCATTGGCTCAATCGAATGATCTCAACATAATTTATCCTCCAAATGGCGAACAGATGGAAATTCATACCAGGAAAGTAAGAGCCCCTGCATAATTGGAGTTCAGAGTCCAAGCATCCAAATTAAAAAGATACGTCTGGAACTTTCAGTTCTCGATATATTCTTCTTGACCCGTTCGCGCGTTTTTGGACTTGTGCACAGTACTTACGTTTTCGAGCACACATCCCTTTTGAATTTTTCTTGTATCCTGTCTTGCACCTGCACTTTCCGTTGAAGCATTCTTCGTGCGATGCGCACTTGCATTCTGTTCAAGATAGATAGAGGATATTGCATGCCTGCCCTTTAATACGAATTTTATCCCCTACCATTATTGATGTCCACTTTTACTTGATTAACCAGCTCTAAGCAGTTCCACGAAGGCGAATGCATGTGTTTCGTTGCTTATCGGTGCTTGTGACGTTTCAAATTTTTTATTTATCGCAAGAGTCGTAGACTAATACAGTTTAAAAACCTAATAAGCATCACCTATGACCATAAATTTTAGTTGACGAAAAGGAGCGAAACCTAGGATTGAGGTATCCCTCATCAGGAAGCAGGTCAAGTCACACGAGGACGCTATCATACACAAGAACACTCATATTATGCCAACAAATTCTTACGAGGTTCTTTGACGCATCTTTTATCAGCCTTCACATATCCCGCTTTGCATAAGCAAAAGTGTCCCCCTGGTTGATTTACACACTTCCGATACACTTTGACCCAGAGGCACACTCGTTAATGTCTTGTTTGATAACAGAAAAGAAAATGATGAATGGAGGATGTTACACGGTGGCGCATGGATATGAATTTTATGTTCGAGTAGCAAGAACAATATCTCACGAGGGAGCATAAAACATAAAATTTATATCTTCGAGGTAACGTGTAGTTTTCTTTTCATTATAAGTATAATAGATATTCAAGGTAAAGATTGAAAAGCTGGGTGTAATTAAAATACTGTGTTCATACAAACAAAATACCCGATTCCCAAATTATGATTAAGGTTTACATATAACAGCGCCTGTTAAGCCTAAATCATCAGATACTGCTATTTTCAGACTCTTTACACAGCTAACTTTTGAACAGCTGAAGGCTGTTTAGCACAAACAGAATAAAATTTATCTTCTGTCGCAACTTAATAGAAATTCCTTGAAAAACTTCTGAGCATACAAAGTTTTCTTTCTGGTGTTCTCGTTCTCTTGTTGCACGGAAAATGCACCCTTACTAAACAAATCTTGCTGCGGCTATTGTTCCAAACAACGAACAAACCAATATCATAAAGAGATTTTTCAAAGCCATGACACTTCGCATGCACTCTAATTTAACCAAAGAGCCACGCAGCACACAGAAATTTATACGTTTATCTCAACCCGAAGACCTTTATGATGAGGCAAGTAAAGGTAATCACTTACCTGTACATACTCCTTCTCCATTTTTTTCATATCCTTCATTACAAGTACACTTTCCGTCTTCGTCGCACTTAGATCCATGAGCACCGCATTTACATTTCATTTCTATAAAGGTAAATCACATTGTTAAACTGGAGAAGAGCAAAAAGAACTTTGCTTTTCTTGACCTCTTCAATGAAAAGCTCGACGTTGCAATACTCTTAGAGTCAGCTAAGTCGGATGAACGCAAGGACAACTAGCCACGAGAAGAAAATTGTTCACAGCAAAACGTAGCTTGACATTGTTGTTGCGCATGGGAACTTCGTTGCCCTATTCCAGCAAAGCGTGTGCGGAAGGTTCCTGAATAAACCAAACTGGTAACAGAGAATTCTCGTTCCGATTTTACAAACGCGTGGAGATCGAAAATACTTTGAGAAACTCTGTATGCAGCAGCAGACCTTTGGGTCAGTAAACTGTCTGGTCAGCATCAGGGATTTAAATTATTCAAACCTTTACGAAAAATCTCGAATTGGAAGTTTCGGTGGTACTTACTCACGCACTCGTCACCATCTCCCTTCTCGTATCCTTCTTCACAATGACATTCATAGGCACCAGGCGTGTTTATACATTTTTGCTTAGCTGGGCAAGCGTTTGGATCCTTGCATTCGTCTATATCTGCATTTATACAATGGAGATAAGATAAATACACGTTATGTTGCCCCTAAAAATTAGTCTACTATGTTTGTTTATTTTCAATGTGTTCTGCTCATGCACCTCGGAAAATATATTTGAAACCCCCGCGCTAAAAAATATGCACTGAGACGAGAAGAAGAGATGTCTGACTGACTAGAACATAAAAATTCATGCAAGGGAGGAGGTAGTCCCGAAGTAATTTAACTTCGGTCCATCATATTATTAAAATTGATTGTCAACAATTATTTTGCGAACTTCTCCACTAAAGCACACATTTTTCAAATGTTCACTCAGTAATTTCTTGAAAAAAAAATGACAATAATGATCCATAGATAAACAAAAGTACATCCTTGATGATCAGTCTTAAAATCTACAACACTCTACTAGTGGTAATCTGCCTCTCTTCCATGTAAACAGAAAAAAAAGAAGACTAAAGACATTCAACGTTGGGTTTGTTACAGTGATTCATAAATTGGAGATGCACACTGACGACTCATCAACATCGCGCACCACCAGCACCGTCCACTGACACCAACTCGGAGCGAAAATGTAGCTTTTCGAAAATGTCGAGATCACTGTTTCTAATTTTTGACGAAATGATTGATTTATTCCCATTATGCAAATGTAAAGCGTTTCTGTCACCAAAACTGTTGCATTTGGCGAAGTTTATCCGGCACGGCGTGGATGGAAATGTTAGGGGAAGTTTCAGAATGAAAACAATGTTTTCAAATTTATCAAGTCCAGGGTGAATGGGCTTCAAATAAATAGCGCTATTGAAGAATTTGATCTTTTTTGATCTTACCTATACAGGCGCCATCATCAGACTTCTCATAATGGGCTTTGCATCTGCAATAAGGACTATAAGGATAGTTGGGATCTCTAATACAAGTTGAGTTGGCATCGCATTCATGTGCGACTGGGCACGGTAAGGACTCTGTGATAGAAAACAATGGAATTAAAACATTACATCGCATGAAAGAAGTAATAGACTCAAGTTGCATTCTAACCACAATTAGTGATAGTTCATTTGAAAAGAAACGAAAAAGAAGGAAGACCCAACGTTTTCAGATCGCAAATCAAATAGTGCAGACCCATAAAAAGCACGTTTTTTGCAAGAGGAGTTCTCTATCGATTATTCTAGTTTCGTCGGCTTGCTGACTGACTGTTGGCTCTGCTATCGGTCAGTCTGAGTCACTGAGCAACTGCCCTGATGTCTGACTGAATGACTGTTGACTGACTGACTGCATTGATTGACTGATGCATTGATTGACTGATGCATTGATTGACTGAGGTTCACAGACAGATTAACCTGTTGAACGGCCGACAGTTTATTTAACTATCTGATTGTCTGAATGAATGAAATAATGTTGGATCGATCGATTGATTGATTGGTTGACTGACTGATAGTCCGACTGAGTGACAGATTAAACGAGTGAACAGCAGACAGTTTATCTAATTATCTAATTGACCTGTTGACCTGGTAACTCATTGACCGACTGACTGATTAACTCATCAGCTGACTCAGTGGCCATCGGATTGACTGACCAACTGACTGTCTGGCTAACTGACAGATTAAACGACTAGACGGCTGACAGTTTATTTCGTTATCTAACTGACTGACTAACCGGGTAACTGACTGACTGACCCACGGACGGACTGACTCACCCACTCACACTCCGGCTATGTGACCGACTGACCAACTGACTGTCTGCCTAACTGGCAGCTTAATCGACTGAACTGCTAACAGTTTTTTAATCATCTAATTAACTGAATGAATAAAATAATGGCTGACTGATTGACTAGGTGACTGATTAACTGGGTGACTGATTGACTGGTTGACTGGTTGATCGACTGACTGACAGTGTAACTGACTGATCGACTGACTGACCGGGTAACTGACTGACCAGCTGCATGACAGACTGTCTGGCTAACTGATGGATTAACCACCTGACTGGCTGACTGTTTATTTATCTGACTGACAGACTGAATGACTGAAAAAATTACTGACTGATTTACTGACTGAATTATTGATCGTTTGCATGGCTAGCTAGGAGATTGATCAACAGTAAAACGAAAACGAATGTTAGGCTATATTATATGGCCTTTTTTTAGCTTAACATCTTCATAACATGGAAAGGTGGCTCAATTGTGTGCACTTATCAAGGTGTGCATCTTCTCGCAAAACATTAACCTATCCTTACCTTGGAAAATGTAGCTTTGAAATGTACTATCATTCGTTGCAGAGAAGGACACAGGAAATTTTGATAAGGAAGGGGGCTGGAGGGGGGGTGGGTGTAAAAAATTTCTTTTGCTTTTAAATTTCAAATAACAATTTTTATCTTTCTCTCCCCTCTATGTATTCCCTTTTTTAGTAACGAATAGCCAATCACGTCAAAGAACTCTAACCTTGACATTGGAAAACTGAAGTGGACATTTTCCTCGTGCTTTTGCTGTTTGTTTTAACTGAGTTTACTTGGATTTTTTTAGCTTTTGTTCGCGCAAAGTTGTTACCACTTTGTTTGCAATGTTACCAAGTCTCGGAATTTTTATTCGAGTTAACTGTTGTGGTTCATTTAACTAGTTTAAAATTTATTTTCTACGTAGTTTGAACTCTAGCCCCTGTTTTCGTAAATGAGTTTTCTAACAAAGGGGTCCAAAATTTAAATCAGAAAACAAACAATTCTTTTTAACTTTAGAGCTTTAAGTAGACCAGGAAATATTTCTAGACAAGTAAATCTGCATACCCAAAGTAGTATGTATTTTATCTTTGCAAGAATCTTAGCGTCATAAAAGAGGTGAGAGCCCCACAAGTTTGAATAGGAGGAGACGGTTCTGATCTCCTACATTTCCCCACTGTCGCTATACCTGTGCAACTAAGTCCATTCCCAGCGTACTTTTCCTTGCAGTGACACTTTTTATCGCGGCATTCGGCATTTCTATCGCAGTCCTTGGACGAATCACACGGATGTAAATCTGTTTTAAAACAATAGTTATTTAGCTGACTGTTACTAGCAGTTGACAGAGAACAATTAACTACCATTACAAATTTTGAATAGCATATTTAGCATTATTATATAGATACTGATGAAATACCAGGATTTTTCTTTTTACTAAAAAATCATATCTTCATCGCGCGCAGTGAAGATACTATTTTTATCTTTCACGTGTGAGGATATTGGTGTCACCATGGTTACATGGCTAGCCAATTACAAGAGAGCTTCCCACTCAGGCGCGCGGCCGGTTCTTTTGAAATTTCACTCACAAAATGGCTTTGTGGTGCGAAGACGGTACAGTTACCGGTGACTTTCTCCAAATTTTCACATCGATACTTTTTCCGAGCTTGAAGAACATTCAGGAAGTCTCGGAAAGCGATGTTAAAAAATTTATTTATGTAGGAATTTCATCAGTATCTATAAAACAAACAGAACATCACATGGCCAAGCGGCTAATGTAATATCCTCTATTTATCTCTCCCGCGTCGGAGCAAAAGGTCAAATGCTGAAAGTCGCAAAACTCGATCATTTTTTCTGTCGTTCTCTTAAAGAAGGAAGGAGGGGGGGAACTTGGTTTTTATAGCCTTATGGGGATGTGTCGATGGATAGGGTCACTTTTTTACAACTGGATTGATTGTAATGGGGTTGCATTTTGGGTTTTTTCTTCGGGATTTTACGAGTAAGTTTACAAATTGTCAAGTCATTTAAGAACCACTTTCTAAAAAGGTTCCATAAAGTAGATGCATATACAGAAAGTGACTAAGTTGGAATAACCAGAATTAAATTTGCCCAAAGAAGACTATAGGCTAGAATGGGGGTTCTGAGAGGCCAGCGGCTTGTACCAAGCTAAAATCGACTCAAGTAATCCCCTTTCCCCCCTCTCACACGGACAAACACTTTCAGAAATTCTTAAAGTAATTTGGATTTGCTTAAACGGCAGTCTTACCAGGTCTCTTGCACTTAAAACCCTCACAGAGCTCAGCACCTTTACAATGCTTGTCAGTCACGCAGTCTGCAACAAATTTCGAGAAAAACATGCCCAGGAAATAACATGATTTCGAGTGTAATTTGGTGTATGCCCGGGCGAGTGCAATCTGTAGTCTTGAAAATTTACAAGTGCTTATTTAAATCAAATTGCGCAAGAAATCATGTTGTTACTTGATAATGATTAGCATGAAAAAAGCATCACAGAAAGTGAGGACAGACGAAATTTTGACAGCGCGCCTGCTATTTGTAATTTGAACTGGTGTTACAGCTTTGCACTCATGTTACAACTATCAGAAGCGCGTAACGCTTACATAGGTATTGTTAGTGTAACAGTTTTGTTGCGCGCGCATACTGACCATGCGCACTAGGTCTGTCACGGTTACACAACCTGAAAAAACTCGTCCTCCCCAAGTGGTCGACGACGAGTTTTTGGGCCTGTTCACATGGAGGTGGGAGACCCCATAGCCGTGGTCGAAAAATGAAACGCGTTTACGTACAATCTTACAACCCTGGGGTCAGGTTGTTGTTGCGTTTGCAATTAACGAGTTTTAGCAGAGGTGTCCCAAGCTCACATCTCGAGAAAGACGAAAGATTAATTCTCGGACACATTTGTATTTGTTCTTGAAAGCGTCACGCGTTGTGTTATGCGGTGTTAGGTTGCGCGAGGAACCGTTGACTTAATGCGTTATTTGGAATAGTTTGGGAAACAAAATATAGTCCATTTACAACGCTAAATATTCCGAAATGTGAACATTTTACACTCCTTGTGTGTCCGTTGCGGTTTCTGGAGATTTCTGCCATGAGACGGCTATGAAATGTACAAAGTTAATATACATGCTTCGCTTTTGAGCTTTTTGCCATGAACGCGATCCCGGCTAGGCGGGTTACCCCACCTTGAGACGTTTACATGGCAAATTGTCACCCCGACTGACAGGGTTACCCTAACTTACAGACCGGGCAACCCGCCTAGGCGGGTCACCCCACTTATCATGTAAACGTGATCAAGATAAAATAAGAAATTATATGGACAGGCGGGTTACCTCACTTACCTGGGGTCCCCCACCTCCATGTGAACAGGCCCTTTGTTAAAAATATAAATACGAACTGAAAGTTTAGGCAAGATTGCATTGTTGAAGTTAAAAAAAGGAAAACCGGCCTTCTAGCTGGATTTAAGGGAATGTCCCTTTCTCAGGTATTAAATATTGATACACATTAATCAAAACTTACTTAGATTGGTTCCCGACTTTCGACAATTAAATTCTCTGGCCTCAGAGCACTGTACCCTTCCCCATATATCTCTAAAAGCCCAAGTATAAATTAATTATATCAATCAAAAAGTGAACTTACCGACACATTCTTTGTTAGAGGCAATCTGGTGAACTTGATTCGGTGGGCATTTGCAGAGTTTCTCTCCTGGCATCACTGGATCAACGAGACACTTACTACTTCCGAGACAATTATGCTTCCCTGTGCATGGCTTGGCGTCTAAAAAATGCAAAATTCACATTTCTTTCCTCATGAGACTCGAAATGGAGAACGTTATCTTGATAAATGAGAGAGATGTTTTATCGTTATGTCATAAAAGTGAGACAAAGGAAATATTCCCCGTGCAGAATTAAACCTCAGACCCTCGGATTACCCGCCCTGACGCAATGCAGCACTGAGCATCAGAGACCCGACGATGAGCATCAGTACGTCGCTCTTCTTTGTCTACTTGACTGGTTACCTCTGCATTCGCGGCCGTTTCCCACTCGGTTTCCTTGACAAACGCATAGTCCATGCTCGCACTTGGCCTTAGAAGAGCAATCTTTGTCGTCTGTACATGGTATGTTTGACGCTGAAACATAAGAATTAAGGCCATAATCCTTAACGAATCTCTGCACTGAAAGATTTTACCCGTTCAGATCTTTAAATTATCTTCCTCAACCCTGTAAGTACTCCAAGTGACCAAGATAGAATTTTTCTTTACAATATCAAACAGACAAGTGATGAGAATAATGAAAAATAACGGCAACGATAGTTAGTCCTTTTTAAACGTTTCATTCAGCGCGCCGCAAAAATTATTAAAAAAAGAAGCTTTAGATTGTTTGTAATTCGCCTTAAAATTCGGAGAAAACCTTTAGACAAAATTCCGTATGTTGGCCGCAGGGCTGAAAAAAGCCACAAGGCCCCGCGAACAGCGAGCAAAAAGAAGGATGAGGGAGGAGCAACGGTCGCGCGCGATAAAATACCTAATGGCTGAGTTAGGTTGGGCTGAACAAGAAAAGTTTTGGCTCTCGATTCTTACCTTTAGCCAGATTTTTTCTCCTACGACCCTCCCCTCCCCCACTCAGTCAATATGTTAGTATTACAGCCCCACATGGTGACTCACCGACACACATTTGCTTGTCGTTTAACACGTATCCAATCATGCATTTACAGAGGGTAGTGCTAGGAAGGTCTTTGTGAACCACACACATTCCTTTATCTCCGCAAAAATCCACTGTATTACAATGAAGTTTTTTAATTCTGCCTGAAAAAAGAAATCAATCATATTGTGAAGGGATACATGTTCATTTTTTTCGTTAGGTTCATCATGGAACTTCGATCTCTGATCATCTGCTGATTCCGAGAAAAGAGTGTCAATCAATCTTGCGATGCTTGAAAACCTACGCAAATTCTGTTCTCGGTCCTTCTGGTCAGCACCACGGATCTACAAGCTCTCGGAAATTAATTCGTTTACTCCAACTCGGCTGTCAAACGTTTCACGATACTCAATCGAAACACGCTCTATTTCAAAGCGAATGTCGCTTACGAGTGCAATTTCTGCCGTCTCCTAGAAATTCGCCCAAACAATGGCATCCTCCATCCATACAAACTGCGTTTTTATCACAATCTTTGGCCGTTGAGCAGTTCGCCGGCTTCCCTGATTGAAATGAAAACATAAGACAAAGTTAGCTAACAAAATAAGTGAACCTTGATTATTTGATTCGAATTATTAACGCTACTTATAATTAAAAAATAATGTGCTGTACGGCAGAATTCTGCAGATATCTTTTGGTGACTTAATTGCATCTTCGATCCCCAGGAGTTCACTATCCATTTCTAATCCAAGGAGGGGAGGAGATGGGCATAAGGTCTTTGCACTCCTTTCATCAGCACAACACGGTAGGGGCGACCCTAAAAGCCGGAACGGCGGAAAATTACCCCACATCCTAAGGACGGAACGACGGAAAATTACCCCAAGTCCTAAGAGACGGAATGGTGGAAAATCATCCCAAATTCTAAAAGACGGAATAATGGTACACACTTCCCACTCATTATTGTCTTTTCCTTTGCTATATCGTAGCGGTGTTCTGGTCGTGTACGTAAGTGAATGAGATCTTTCTTCGTCCTTTCTTCCCCTCATGATGACAACTTCCGCGGAAATGAAATCAATACTAAAACAAAAATCGTCTTGGCTCGTAATGTGTCACATTATGTTGGCTGTCGTTTAGGATTTGGGGTGATTTTCCGCTATTCCGTCTTTTAGGATATGGGGTAATTTTCCGCCATTCTGTCTTTCCGCCCTTCCGCCGTTTAGATCCAACTAGTGATCGAGACCACGTGTCTTCGATCCGGAGCTTGGCAAGTATCAAATGAAGTAAACAAATTAGCGTGCAGTGCAGGGGTCTTATCAGGGCGAGTTAACTTTTAAGAAGCTCGAGATCGTTTATGCAACCGGTCATGTTTGATTTGGAGATAGAGACAACAGGAAGGAGAAGGGGGGGGAGGGGGAGGAAAGGCGAAAAGTAATATTCACTCCTCCACCCACAACTCTCTCCTTATTTTTGACCGTCACTCACCCCCCTGGCACAAATTATTTTCTCTCCTCAGCCTACCGCCGCCATTGAAATCAAAGATGGCGGCCATACTTGTCGCAAAGGATATTAAGCACTCGCTCGCCAAAATTACGCCCGCTCTGAAGGCTATAGACAAATAGGTCATTACCAAGTGTGCAATGAATTCCATCTCCGGCCAAGCCCGGCTTACATCGGCATCTATAGCCTCTACATTGAGCATTGGTTAAACACGATGCATATCTAGAGCAAAGTGCTGTTTAAAGGAAAAAAACAATGTTGAAATGATAAGCGACGCTTTACTAGCCATGATAACAATTGTGGCGGCCTTGGGTAGCATCCGAGACCTTCGAGCTCAGTTTTCCCAATACGGACCTCCCGCTTGGTGAATAACATATGTTGCCCGTGATTTACATGAAAAAAAGAGAAAAAAATTAAATATGAGGGAACAATAGCGCGCGCAAATGTCTCGTAAACTTTTACATTACGTGTGCAATGTCGTAATAGTGCCCAAATTGGCTGTTGATGACCTGATATTGTTAGTCAATTTTTAAACCGGAATTTGATCAATATCTGAGAAGTCACACGTTATCTGTTTCTCTGGTTTGTTCTTGCTCTCGTGTTAGAAACGCATCCGTTCAAGGCGAAGTTTTCTCGAGCAAAGCTTCAATTGAGTTCAATGATTTGCACATTACGTCATGGCAAGAGCTCGTTGAAACCGTTAGAAGGAAGTTTTCATGAGAGTAATTTTTCTTCATTACTAGCTATTTAGATCTAATGTTTCAAAACTCTGCAAGAGAAAAGCAAACATGACTCTCCTAATAATCTATTAAACCATGGGCTCAGTTTAAACATCGTTTTAAAGAGAAAATTTTGTCATCGGTCCAATAGTTTACTCGAACTGAATCAGCCTTTCATTCACAGTGAGCGAGTACTGAACATCACATACTTAAGGTGGGAAAATCTTCCTACAAGAAAAGAAAAAACTATGACAATCACTCCTTAGTATCCTTCGACAACGATGCACAGAACTGATTCAAAATTCGGGATCTGACGGGAAAAATGAACCAATAGATAATTAGGTGAAATTGAAAATACTACTGTGAACTTACAGTAAGAGCCCTCAAGACTCCACGTTTGGCCTTCACCAACGAAAACTATGATTACTACCAAAGTAAGAATGTTCCTTAACAAAGGTTGCATTTTGAAGGGAACGCTTGCCACTTTATGAAGACCTCTAAGTTTAGATGCCCATTGTACCACGAAACTAACTGATCAAATGAGCCGTTAATTGATTTTACTGTTTTTAAACGTCATAATAGCTCACGTGAGAAATATTCGTACCCGTAGAGGGAAAACTGAGATATGAGAACGCGAAGTCGAGGCTCTACAGAAGCGATATGAATATTTCAACTTATTATTCGATTGCACAAAGTAGAGAACAAATATCCCGCGATTATGTACGGTTTTTAGGACAGTTGGTTATTTTGTACTTTAAAAAAGACCTGTTTGACAGTTTGGCTTCACTTGCCTTCTCTGGTGCCGTATTTAACAACTGTACCATTGTTCTTGGTTGACAACCCTTAGCTCTTCAAGTAACGGCAGCGATTCCTGCGTCGTCACCGTATGATTGACTCGGATGATGAAATTAGTTTTGGAAATTATTTTTGATATTCTTACAGCTCATCCCTGTCTTTGAGAGTTTGTCTCCCGGTAGATTCAAAGCTTTGTTACTGGCGATAAATTATTCATTGAAAAACGAACACTTTTGTACTTGTAGTACTTTTAAATGCGCACGATTTGAGAACAAATTCAACTTTGAATCGTTTTGACACCCTATGTGACAAGTTGACGTCTCGTGAGCCAATCCGACCCGAGCATTACGCAAGACCTGTCACAAACCGCCTCTCTGTTTACTCCGCTTTTCCCGCCTTCTAAAACTTGCATAAAGATAAATAATTGTAAAAATCGTTGTTTGTATTTTGAATCACCCTGCGGACTCGTCAAAATACAGCTCAACTCGTAAAAATACTCCGCGATACAACACGCCAAAACGTCTAATGAGATATATTGAATGATATTTATGAAAGGAAAGACGGCGAAGAAAAAATGGCTTTAATCACACCAGATGAGGATAATAGCCAGTGGGAAGTAAGGGTTTGACGTTTTGATTGAAAAAATTTTATCGTGTTATAACCTTCTTGGGAAAATGACCTGAAATCCCATGCACATCCGTAGAGGTTTTTCGATATTGCATGAAAAAGTTTGACACGCAACCTTCTAGAGATCTTGGGCGCCTGATCTGAAACCACTGAAATTGTACCTGCTCGAGAAGCCTGCATATATCAGACAGCTGAACTGAAGGGGAGTAAACGTTTTAGATTTTACGCTACGATCTCAGATACCTAGATATTTATGTTATGCTTATGACATATACTATTATCATCATTATTATTATTACAGTAAATGGTTTGAACCAGGGGATAACATGTTATAGTGTAGTTTGATCGTCCGGGTGAGTGTAGTCCTGAGAAGGACTGTTGTCGGTCGTGGTGACTAACGTTTCGCCAACCTGAGCGGAGGTCATCATCAGAGTCAAGTGAATAGTTATTGTCAGTCGAATGTTCTTAGTCCGGTTTGTATAAACTGATTGGTCAATTTTCCCGTGATGTTATTGGCTGTAAGACTTAAGTGGCGTCTTGGTCAGCCGTGATTGGTCGGTCTCGATCCGTTAGTAGAGTTAGGCTACATTCACACGGTGCCGAACGAATTTTCGACCGGCCGAAAATTTCGACCGGACATTCTATTCACACGGAACCGTGCGAAAGTTTCCTTCTGTTCAGATGGAACTGTGACACTTGTCAGTGGTTTTACCATCTCCTCATGCGCACAACATTTCTTTAACCAAATGCAAAATGGCGTCCAGAAAGAGAAAAGCCAATTCGGATGGTAGCACGGATAACGAATATTTCACTTGGACGGATGAGGAGACAGCACTACTGCTTGATGTTGCTTTATCATATTAAAATGAGAAAACGTGCGAGGGGGAAGAATGGGAATCGATACGAACAAGGTATGAGGAATTACAAGAACTTTTCATTGAAAGATATAAATTGTTGTATAATGTGTATAATGTTATTATGTTAAATATTGTTTACGCAATTGTCTTGTCACAGGCGGCCCAAGGTCACGTCTCGAGAAAAAGCCAACGATTAATTCATGAACGCGTCACGCGTTGTGTGACTCGGTGTTAAGTTACGAGAGGAACTGCACGTTATAAGGAATAGTATAGGGAACGAAGTATGGTCGATTTACAACGATACATATTTCGAAATACGAACATTTTTCTCGTAAAATCAACAAAACTTACTCATACCCTGTGTATCCGTTGTATTTTCTGGCGATTTCTGCCGTTTTAAGCTTGCTCTACCATCACTGTCATTCACGTCATCTACTTTTATTACGTTGGTAAAATCTGTGCAGACATCACACCAACCAACTCGCGTGCAAAGTAAGAAGACTATATTGAAGGCTTGAAATTATATTACGATCGATTTTCATCAAGAAATGGGCCAGGAATTTTCCACAATAGTGCAAATAATCGTGAAGGCTGATCGCGTAAAAGCGATTGCGTGACGCTCGGTAAACTATAAGATGACATGTTATTATATACTAGACGTAAAAACTCTTCAGATTCTCAGTCTGCATTTTGTACCCACTCTGCAGTCTGCAGTCTATATTTTATGTCCGGTCTGCAGTCTGCTGTCTGCATTTTGTAGCGTATTCATAGTGTACTCGTGTATTAGGAAGTTCGCGTAGTGCGTTTGAGTCAGTTTCTGGCAGATTTGAACAGAAAGAACATCAGTGACACACTCGGCTGCGCCTCGTGTGCCACTTTTTTGTTCCTACCACATTTTGACGTCATCTGTGGTCTATTACTGAACAGACGCACGGCAACTTGGAATCTATTTGTTAAACATATCATCGTCCCAAACCAGATGAGCCCATGACACGTCAGCGGAATCGTGGCGGGAGTTCTCTATTTTTCTGCTCGTTTCCGGCGAATCAAGAGACCGTGACCTGCGTGACCGACGATAAAGCGTCGTGTTCTTCAATATTTTATCGCGAAAGTATTCTTCCCATAACTTGTACAAACTAATTTCTGTCTAGATCACATATTTAAGAAAAATTTTAGCCCGTTATTAAGGCGTTAAAAGGAGGATCGACACTTAAATATAACCGGCCTAATGGTTTCGGTCGATGTTATCCTTTGACCTCGCTATCATCGACCAAAACCAGACTCAGGTCAAAGATCATTTGCATAACTTTGCACTGTAAAATCTTTCGATTGGAACAAACATACAGTTCCTTTCTGTTTGTAATAAATTATCTTTACGTTTTATTTGACCATGATCTCTTGGTTTTTGTTCAACATCGTATTTGCTACTAATAAATATATTTGCGAAGGGGTGGTCCAGTTAATATTTAACACTCATGCATTTACGTTTTTCGGCTCGCAGGTAAATATTGGCGGGAAATCTAAATTTTTGGTAGAAGAACAAACATGGAT